CCCCTAATGTGAGAGGTCAGCCCCTTTTTTGATATCATCTTAAAGATCTCATGATTTTAAACACTTTTTGTTCAACAACTATTCACAATTTTTTTTGTTTTGTTTTCGGGATATATGCAAAAGAAATATTAAAGGCCAGCCTTTCAAGTCCTAAATGGGGACGTCTAGCAAAAATTGAAAGAGTGCATACTGTTCAGAATATTATTTTGATCGTCTTTTGTTCAATACTGTTTATCAAAATATTCTTCCTTTTCCAGATATATTGCGCCATAGATTATGCAATCTGGCCCCCTTAAGACCCCTTACTGCGTTATATATGATATCAACATCATGTTATTTAGATAAAGTGTGTGAAGAAGTACTATTTCGCTTCAGTAATATATTACAAAATATTGATCATTAAAGAGTTATTGATAGTATACTCTCAGCCCCTTATTTAATGGGTCAGCCCCTTTTCCTTGATATCACCTTAAAGCTCTCATGATTTTGAAAACTTTTTGTTCAAGAATTATTCAAAAATTCTTTTTCGTTTCCGAGATATATCCGAAGGATATATTTAAGGGTCGGCCCTTCAACTCCTTAATGGGGACGTTTAGAAAACATCAAAAGGTTGCATATTGTTTAGAACATTATTTTGAATAACTTTTGTTCAATATTGCTTATCAAAATATTTCCCACTTTTGAGATATAAAGCGTCAAAGATATAGCATTCTGGCCCCTTATGGCCCCTAATTATGTACATATGATGTGAATATCATAATATATAATTTTGAATTGTTGAGATAAACATTTTTGCTTCAGTAATGCATTACAAAATATTGATCGTTAAAGAGTTATTGTTCAAAGACTTTCGGCCCCTCTCAGCCCCTATTTTGAGGGGCCACCAGCCCCTTTTTCTTCATATCACCTTAAAGCTCTCATGATTTTGAACACTTTTTGTTCAACAACTACTCAGAAATTCTTTTTCGTTTCTGAGATATTTGCAAAGGAAGTATTTAGGGGCCGGCCCTTCAACTCCTAAATGGGGATGTTTAGCAGAAAATGAAAGGTTGCATATTGTTTAGAACATTATTTGGAACATCTTTTGTTCAATATTGCTTATCAAAATATTTCCCACTTTCGAGATATAAAGCGTCAAAGATTTAGCATTCTGGCCCCTTATGGCCCCTCATTATGTAACATATGATGTGAATATCATAATATATAGTTGTAATTTGTTGAGATGAACATTTTTGCTTCAGTAATGCATTACAAAATATTGATCGTTAAAGAGTTATTGTTCAAAGACTTTCGGCCCCTCTCAGCCCCTATTTTGAGGGGCCAGCCCCTTTTTCTTCATATCACTTTAAAGCTCTCATGATTTTGAACACTTTTTGTTCAACAACTATTCAGAAATTCTTTTTCGTTTCTGAGCTATATGCAAAAGATATATTTAGGGGCCGGCCCTTCAACTCCTTAATGGGGAAGTTTAGCAAAAATTGAAAGGTTAAATAGTGTTTAGAACATTATTTTGAACATCTTTTATTCAATGTTGCTTATCAAAATATTTCTCACTTTCGAGATATAAACCGTCCAAGATTTAGCATTCTGGTCCCTTGTGGCCCCTAATTATGTAACATATGACATAAATATTATAATATATAGTTGTTAATTGTTAAGATAAACATTTTTGCTTCAATAATGTATACTAAAATATTGATCGTTAAAGAGTTATTGATTTAATACTTTTGGCCCCTCTCGGCCCCTAATATGATAGGTCAGCCCTTTTTTCTTGATATCATATTAAAGATCTTGTCATTCTGCACAAATATTGTTCAGTATGTTATTACAAAATAATTATACTTTAAAAGATATGATACAAAATGTCTCCAAAATTCACTCATAATTCGTGTCCTAAATTTCGACCCCTACCGAGCTTCCATACTAGGCACTTCCGGAAAATATCAAAACCCAGGTGCAAAATGGCAACATGTCCTCTATCATCACTGAAAATTTCAGCGCTCTAGCTTAAGCCGTTTTTGAGTTCCATCGCAGACAAGGAGGTCCTCTGAATTTTGATAAAAGGGCGATAACTTTCGACCGGAAGTAGATATCCCTTTATAGACTTGCCGGAATTAACTTCAGATGTCAACGCATCTACCGTGAAAATTTGAATAAAATCGAACGAGCCATCTCCGAGAAATCGTCTGCACAAATTTTGTAAGAAGAAAAAAGAATAAAAATAATAATAATAATAATAACTAGATGAGATCTCGTTGCGAGCAACGAGTGGGTCTTCCGTCCGATTTTTGATAAGATGAGATGAGAATTTGACTGAGATTTTCGTTCAAATATAATGATATAAATAAATTGTTAAGACGAACAATTTTGCTTTAATAATGTTTTACAAAATATTGAACATTAAAGGAATATAGATTAAAGACTTTCGCCCCTTCTTGGCCCCTAATGTGAGAGATCAGCCCCTTTTTCTTGGTATCATTTTAAAGCTCTCATGATTTTGAACACTTTTTGTTCAACAACTAGTCAGAAATTCTTTTTTGTTTTCGGGATATATGCAAAAGAAATATTAAAGGCCGGCCCTTCAAGTCCTAAATGGGGACGTCTAGCAAAAATTGAAAGCGTGCATATTGTTCAGAATATTATTTTGGTCGTCTTTTGTTCAATACTGTTCATCAAAATACTCTTCCTTTTCGAGATATATTGCGCCATAGATTATGCAATCTGGCCCCCTAAAGACCCCTTACTGCGTAATATATGATATCAACATCATGTTATATAGATAAAGTGTGTGAAGATGTACTATTTCGCTTCAGTAATATATTACAAAATATTGATCATTAAAAAGTTATTGATTTTATACTTTCGGCCCCTCTCAGCCCCTTATTTAATGGGTCAGACCCTTTTCCTTGATATCACCTTAAAGTTCTCATGATTTTTAACACTTTTTGTTCAAGAATTATTCAAAAATTCTTTTTCGTTTCCGAGATATATCCGAAGGATATATTTAGGGGCCGGCCCTTCAACTCCTTAATGGGGATGTTTAGCAAAAATCAAAAGGTTGCATCTTGTTTAGAAATTTATTTTGAATAACTTTTGTTCAATATTGCTTATCAAAATATTTCCCACTTTTGAGATATAAAGCGTCAAAGATTTAGCATTCTGGCCCCTTATGGCCCCTAATTATGTAACATTTGATGTGAATATCATAATATATAGTTGTGAATTGTTGAGATAAACATTTTTGCTTCAGTAATGCATTACAAAATATTGATAGTTAAAGAGTTATTGTTCAAAGACTTTCGGCCCCTCTCAGCCCCTATTTTCAGGGGCCAGCCCCTTCTTCTTCATATCAGTTTAACGCTCTCATGATTTTGAACTCTTTTGTTCAACAACTACTCAGAAATTTTTCTTCGTTTCTGAGATATTTGCAAAGGAAGTATTTAGGGGCCGGCCCTTCAACTCCTTAATGGGGACGTTTAGCAGAATATAAAAGGTTGCATATTGTTTAAAACATTATTTTGAACATGTTTTGTTCAATATTGCTTTTCAAAATATTTCCCACTTTTGAGATATAAAGCGTCAAAGATTTAGCATTCTGGCCCCTTATGGCCCCTCATTATGTAACATATGATGTGAATATTATAATATATAGTTGTAAATTGTTGAGATAAACATTTTTGCTTCTGTAATGCATTACAAAATATTGATCGTTAAAGAGTTATTGTTAAAAGACTTTCGGCCCCTCTCAGCCCCTATTTTGAAGGGCCAGCCCCTTTTTCTTCATATCACTTTAAAGCTCACATAATTTTGAACATTTTTTGTTCAAAAACTACTCAGAAATTCTTTTTCGTTTCTGAGATATTTGCAAAGGAAGTATTTAGGGGCCAGCCCTTCAACTCCTAAATGGGGACGTTTAGCAAAAAATGAAAGGTTGCATATTGTTTAGAACATTATTTTGAACATGTTTTGTTCAATATTGCTTATCAAAATATTTCCCACTTTTGAGATATAAAGCGTCAAAGATTTAGCATTCTGGCCCCTTATGGCCCCTCATTATGTAACATATGATGTGAATATTATAATATATAGTTGTAAATTGTTGAGATGAACATTTTTGCTTCAGTAATGCATTACAAAATATTGATCGTTAAAGAGTTATTGTTAAAAGACTTTCGGCCCCTCTCAGCCCCTATTTTGAAGGGCCAGCCCCTTTTTCTTCATATCACTTTAATGCTCTCCACTGGGTGAAATAAGCAGTTTCCCGTCATGGGAAACTATATGGAAACCACATGGAAACCTCATGTTTACATCATGTTTCCTAGTGGTTTCCGCAGCGGATGCCAGGTTATTCCGTCAAGTTTCCGTACCACGGAAACTACTACGCTCCGATTCCATAAGGTATCCCCAACCACGGAAACCTCAGGAAACCTGAAGTTTCCTGAGCCTCCATGTAGTTTCCCGTAATGGGAAACCTGAAGATTCCACTGGTTTCCATAATTAGGAAACTATGTGGAATCGGAGCGTAGTGGTTTCCATGGAATGGAAACTTGATGGAATCCTCAGATTTCCCATGAACGGAAACTAGAGGAAACCTCGTGATTCCTCAAGTTTCCAGGACTCAGGAAACTATATGGAATTGGAGCGTAGCGGTTTCCGTGTGATGGAAACTTGGTGGAATTATCTGGTGTCTCATAAAAGGAAATTACAGGGAAACTTCAAGATTCCCTTATTTTTCCGAGACGGGAAGCAATGTGTAATTGTGGTGTAATAGTTTCGATACCATGGAAACTACAGGGTAGGTTGAGCATTTCAATTTCGAAAAATGATTGACAAGCAACTGGAAGCTCAAGGATCCCTGTATTTTCCATGGTTAATCTTTCTTGTCTAGAATGTGAAAAGAGAACAGCAGGTTTAAATCAAAATATATATTATTAATTTCCTTGGTAAACTGTATTTTCTTTTCAAAATCTATCAAGAAAATGTATAAAAAGGAAAAAGCATTATCAAATCATATGTTTAATAATTCATTTGATGTGCAAAAACATTATTTGAAAATGATATCAAAATAAATAAAATCATATATCTTGGTACACAATGAAGTAGTCTTTCACATCTAAGTCCATTCATAAAAACTTCTTTAAATACTCTATACTTCTTTCAACATCAGCTTCCTTTGTATTTTCTTCACATCATCTGCGATCTGCAATATATTTTCATATAAAATTATTATTTGATGTAAGAATTGTATGCTTGAATATTATTTAGAAATCTTACAAGATCACTCAATGTCCTTTAATGTACCAATATCAGTGATTATAATTAGTTTCAGTCTTTAAATTTAATGACAGGAAATCCGAATAATGTACATTACATAGTAAGATTTTAAGCCAGATTAATATTAAAGCAGGTAAGATTGAGAATATGACCATCTCGTACATGTAGAACACTGCTTTTAGTTGAGTGAATTGGAGAGAAATGTGCTCTGGACAAGGATATTGTGAATCTTTTTTTTTCTTATTGACATTTGACCTAGAAATTTTGTTAAAGATCACTAAAAACCCTTCATCCCATGACACACAAGCAAGATCATACCAAGGGAGAAAAATTATGCTCTGGACAAGGACTTTAAATAAAGATATATAGTGTGTTTTGATACTGACCTTTGACCTTGATAATTGGTCCAAGGTCACTTTTTACCCTCCATCCACAGGCACTCTATGAGTTAAATTTGAGTGAGATTGGGCTAAGAGGAGAAAAAATATACTCAGGACAAGTGATATCAGATTGACAGACAGATCATCTCATGGCATCTGCAGAACAGGACCCTAAAAAAACAATGCACATACATGTTAAGCTATATCCATGCAAGTCAATATGAATTCATCATATGTTGCATTGCATACACATGTTTTAATCATGTTTAATACCTTATGAATAATTTCATATTGCATGTACACTCAGTTTACATACAAATAATCTAAATTTCATCAAAAATGACCAACATATCAGCCATTCAAGATTTAGCTAATCAACATTCAGTACAAGTTCTATATGCTATATCATATGTACAGAAACATACTAGTATTATTTACCTGCATTCTAAATCTTGTTTTATGTCATTGAAAATTAAGGCGATAGCCATTACCGATAACCAGTTTTTACCCCCAATTTACATACATGAATGTTGTAATGTTTGTTCAAAACTTCTCATTTATAAATATTATCTTATAGTATATTTAGTTAACATATACCTACAGTTAAAGCTTCAAAGTGTTTCATTGAATATTTTAGAAATTACAGTCATCAAAATACTGACCAGCCAGAAATCAGTAAATTTTTATTTTTCATTTTTGTCTTGTTTCATTTAACATATTTCAATGTTAGAAAGTTTTAGTAAGTTATAATATTTACTACTTTAGAATAGCCATACAGTTGAACTTTGGCATCTTGAATACCATAGATATGTCTAAGTAATTTGGAAGTATTCTTTAAATATTTTACTCCTGATATCTCGAATCCTCAAATACATGTACACATGTATCACAAAATAATTTTAATTGAACTTTGAACTTTGAGAAAAGGACTCTTAAACAAATATTCATTATTCTTAAAATAAAGTCTACAGGTTACAAAATTATAAGTTGCTTAACAATGATCATATCAATAATATCTGAAAGAGTTGATCATTTCCCCTTGGGGTGAAGGGGGGGGGCTTCCTCTGTACAATTTAAAATATCCTTACTTTGTGTCAACCTTGGTTAAAATTAGTGGTTCTTGAGAAGAAGTTGAAAATGTGAAAAGCTCACTGATGGATCGACAGTTTGATGGACAAAAGACAAAACAAAAGGTATCAGAAAAGTTCACTAGAGTTTTATCTCGGGTGAACTAAAATCCTCACTGCATGGTGTATATTGTGCTAGACATCATCCAGACAGAAAATTTTATTGAGAAGTGAAAAAGACTCCAAGCCATACAATTTCATAAGGCCAAACAAAAAAATATGTTTGTTTACTGTTACATGCTGAAATAAAATAGGGTCGGTAGGTAGATTAAGATGCATGTAAAAGTTAAACTGACGAATGAGTGACTTATGGATTTTTACAACGAAAAAAAAAATTGGGTTGGCTATTAGATATTGGGTCGGGGGGGGGGGGGGGGGGGGGAGTAACCGTAAACAAACATTTTTTTTTTATTATGCCTAATCTGTTGTAGTTTGCAGCTGGTAGTTCAACATTCCAATTAAAATTGGAATCAAGTTCTTTTCTTTTAATGCAATTGTCATACATGCCTATTTATGATTGAATTTATTACCACTTACCACATGATCACATCTTGATTCATCATACATCTTTAGTTACTGGTTCTCCTTTAATGTCAATTTTCTTCTCTCTGAAAGAATATATTATGTACAGTTACTACACTGTATTGCATTCTGATTTCACTTATAAGACCAACAATAAACAAGAGTCCTAGGGGCCACATTGCTCACCTGAGCGCTTTGGGTAGGAAAAAGCATAAATCAGTTCTGTATTTAAAAGTTTAAATATAAAAGTGGTTCAGAGGAAGGGGGGGGGGGGGGGGGTTATGAATTCTATACTTTCGAAGGATGCTTTTGAATTAATATGATACATATTAGCATTGCTGTTCTTAAGAAGAAAATTTTTATTGATATATTCCTTTTCTTCCTTTTTACAGTAAAACTCGGTTATAACAAAGTCACTGGGACCTGTGAAATTACTTCGCTATATCCTTAATTTGTTATATCCATATAAGGAATTAGTAAAATTTATTTAGCTGGGGATCCAAGAAAACTTCGCTATATCCGTGAATTCACAATATCCGTGTTCGCTAAATGAGTTTTACTGTATAACTATGATCCCCTGTTATGGCCCCTTTATTCTCCTGGGGAGGGAGGGGGGAGTGTCATGATTTGAATAAATTGAATCTACATTACTTCAGGATGCTTTTATATTATTATGACCAATTTTGACTATATTGGTCTTGAGAAGAATTTTAAAGATCTTTCCTATGTATCAGTATTGTTAGTAAAATGTTGATCGCCGATTGTGGCCCCATCCTACCCATGGGGGTCATGATTTGAACAAAATTGCATCTTCACTACCTGAAGATGCTTCCATATAAATATGACAAATCATGGCTTTGCTGTTCTTGAATAGAAGAAATTTCTAAAATTTTTCCTATGTACTTTGATCCTTCATTGTAGCCCCGTCCTACCCCGGGGGTTTTGATTTGAACAAACCTGAATTTACACTAGCTGAGGATGTTTCAACATAAGTTTCATCTTTCCTGATACAGTGGTTCTAGTGAAGAGGATTTTCTCCTATGTATTCCTACGTAAAACTTGATCATCCATTGTGGCCCCACCCTACACCCGGGGGTCATGATTTAAACAAAGTTGAATCTACACTTCCTGAGGATGCTTCCAAATAAGTTTAATTTTTCCTGGCCCAGTGGTTCCAGAAAAGAAGATTTTAAATGATGCCATTAATTTTTCATTTATTTGTAATTATCTCCCCTTAGAAGAAGATATGGTCCTTCATTTAAATACAGTTGAATCCCCTTTACCCAAGGATACTTTGTAGCAAGTTTCATTGAAATTGGCCCTGTGGTTCTTGAGAAGAAGATTCAAATGTGAAAAGTTTAAGACAATGACAGCGACAGACAAATTTTGATCAGAAAAGCTCTTTTGAGCCATTGGCTCAGGTGAGCTATGACTGATTTGTTTGATGTACTCCAAAAGATCCATCAAAATCACCCCTACCCAATCATTTTTTTAAGTATTTTAATTTTAATTCATTTTTTTTTTTTTGGTTTCAGGGAAATAAAGTTTGTTTCATTATAAAGTTGAGGTTTATAATTTCTCCAAGACACTTGTTTTAACGAGAGCAATAAATATTAAACCTGTCTAGCTGTCCAGTGTGTAATGAAACATCAATAAATTTCTAATTCTGTGTTTTTGTATGACAAAAAATCAATTTGTTAGATACTGCCAAAAAAAAATCTACCTACCTACTTCCCTATTTTACAAAATTTGGGTCGAAGTACACAGGGTTGTCCCTAAGAATTGAAATAGAAGGGGACATTTTAAACGTAGAAGGGGAACTGGGGTTCCTCCCTTACTGGGGAGTTTAGGAGGAATATCGAAATAACCGGGGGATTATTTACATCATTATAGTTGGGGAAATTCCTCGGCCCCCGGGTCTTAGAGACAACCCTGAGTACATCTGATCAAACAAAAGTATTTTTAATAATGGCCAAAACTTCAACAACTACCAGGGAGGAATAAAATAAACAAACAAAAATTTATCGTTATCATACAACATATATCAAACAAAAATTTCAAACAAATGAGGATTCACTTATTTTTACCATTAGACTTCTATGATGTTGCGACCACCATCAATAACTGACGATTGTTACTCAGATGATTCATTTGCATTACTTGAAATACTATCAAAAATGATCGATATTTGTACATCTTGTAGGCTTATTATTTTTAACATTTTCAGTAAATCTCTCAGCAGGTCACACATGAGAAATTTTGTCTTTTGAACAGTAATCTATTTCAATTTACAATCTATCACTAGATTGTTAAACAGTTGTTATATTATTATAGACAGTACTTACAAACCAATACATTTTCCCTATACATATCATCATTATGCACATGAATAAGGGTTGTGTTATGACTTTGTAAGATGTATATGTACTCTAGTTACAGACAATCTATTTAAATTGTTCTAATGATTCTTCATAATTTCTAATTTTATCTGTCAAATAAAGGCGGCTTACAATAGTCAGAACTCTCTCTTTTAACTGTTTAAATTTCCATCGATGATGATGTCCTTCGTGAATAATCTGATAAGTTGAGATTGTGGACACTTTTTGTTTAAATATTGATTACTTAATCGTAATTTAGTAGGAGAAATAATTCATTTTTACCTTGTCGTTACATGTACATAAAAAGTTCCAGAAGTCCAAAAGTACAAGTTGCATTCCGAGAACACATGTATTCAAACCGGATATATGTTTGTCTGTATTAACAAAGAAACCATATTCGGTACAAACATTATTATCCGGTTTAACAACGAAAAAAAAATTCATACACTTTTCATTTATTTATAGAGAGAGAGAGAGAACTATTACAGTAAGCATTCATTTTCATTGAAAAAATCTACAAAGGCGAAACGTTAACATACAACATACAGCATGGAAAAAGACAAATGTGGTGCCATAGGGCCTAACTATACAAAGTCTACTATCTATACATCTATGATTGAACGTAAAACACTAAATATTGTATAATTCAAGTTTCTCTTTCCGTTTTTTCAATGTGTAAACTAACATATTTAAAACTTTGATATCAAACTTTTCAAAATGGCGTCAAAACGAATGTGGTCTTCGATGGGAAAGATTTGTTCTGCCCAATATTAGTATTATTTACCGTAAAAAGTATATAAAAATATACGTACACTAATCCTTGGTTGTTGATCATTGCATTTTTCATAGTTTTAAAGACACTGGGTGGCGAAAACATCGTTAACTTTTCACATTTGCACCTTACACCCGAGTCCATCTCCGTCTTGCTTAACTCCAAAAATGGCGCCTCGTGAAAATTGACCAATGAAATTAAAGCTCTGCAGAGCGATGCATTATGGGAAACGGAACTTGTTTACGTTAATTATGTTAGAGGGTAATAAAAGTTTTTATATATAATATAATTTCCCTATTACGGTGATTAT